ATGAGGTCACCCTATCCCAGCCATATTATTCACATATCGAGTCCCAACAGTAACAGTGTAGGGATGAGCACGAAATACTGTAAATTAAATGCTGAATGGCGGTTCATGCAAGGAAAGAACATATCAATATTCACATATTCATTCAAAAACATGAAAATTCTTAATGGAGTACCCTCATTTTTTATTGAATTCCTAAAAAATAATATTTATAATGAATTTTAATAAATTTTTCGAATTTTTTTTAAGCTTTATTCTGACCGATTCACCCGATTCCCGATCCGAATCGCCGATTTGTCGATCCGAATAGATTTTTTGAAAACCCGATCCGGATCACCGATCCGTTTTTTAAACCATTGGATGGCCTACATAACAAATGATCAAGAAGTATTTATAGCTTTCTAGGTTACCAAACAGGGGAACCACCCGCCATTACCAGAGAATCTAGACAGGTTTTAACTTTCCTGCACTTTTTAGGTAACCCAAGAATTCGTATGTAAACTGTACAGAAAGTAAGCAAACAGGGTATAAAGTACTGGAGCGGTGAATGCTTTGTTTTCTCTTAGATTTATGACTGAGTAGGGTTGGCAATGGGCCCAGCCTAGAAATAGCAACCCTCTCTCTCTCCTAAATTGAATGCTGGCATTCAGGATTATAAGAGAAACAATAACCCCACATTATTTTCTATTATAATCTTCCTAATATTGGTACATCTACCTATGCCATAAATACCTCATCAAGAATGGTCAGAGGTAGGCCTCCCGGGCATTTATTTCTTTCCTTTTAGTGGAACATGATGTCCTCAGCTATAAATCCTAGGACTCTTCCATGATTTAGACTTTTAGGCCCTTCTTTTTTATAAAATCGAATGACAAACTAGAATTTATATGGCAAAATGTAAATAGTTAAAAAATAGTTCTCATATGATGAATCTTTTTTTATTTTGTAGAAATTAGAAATATTCTCTAGTATGTGGCCCGAGCCATTAGTGGAGTCCACAAGAATTTTTGCCATAATATTTTCACCTTACTGATTTATCAAAATAATAATAATTTTACTTTATTGGTTTCTCTTGCAATTTTTTAGAATAGTAAAATAATTTAGAAATAATTGTAGTCACCCAATTTCACAACTAATTTAATTGAGATCACCTTGTGTAAAAGGTAAATGGTCTCATTATATACGTTCTCAAATAAAATTATCAATTCTATTTTTAAAAAGGTGCGGTTTGTATAGATCCTAGGATTTAACAATCACATTAGAGCCTACCTTCAACTAGTGTCAAGAAATGTGATTTCAATACTGGAATTCTTTGTGATAGCCTTAAAATATATTTTTATCTTTATTTATAAAGTTTAAGCTTCAAATTAGTGTAGATTGACAGGTATATGAAAACTTGAAAATCTTGAAAATTGACGGTCCAAAAATGTATTGCAAAATTACAATTTCCAAAACTTGAAATCCATTTTTTTTCCCATGTCCATGCATCTTGATGTCGAGATGATCAATTTGAGGATATTTGGGCATCGAAACACCCTCTTCTAGTAAAAAATTTGAGGTAGGCTCTAATTTGATTGTTTTGAGCCTCAGCTCTATATAAACTATGGACATGAAAAAAAATGGGTTTCAAGTGTATTGTGTAATGCATTTATGGACCGTCAATTTTTTAGATTTTCAAGTTTCCATAGATCTGTCAATCTACACTATTTTTTAAGCTTTAAACTTTATAAATAAAAATGAAAATATATTTTAAAGCTATCACAAAAATTTTCAATGTTGAAACTACATTTCTCGATACTATTTGAAGGTAGGCACTAATTTGATTGTTTAGAGCCTAGGTTCTAAACAAACCGCACCCTTTTAAAAATGGGAGTAGTTCTACGAATTTTATATAGAACCAATGGCCTGGGTGGACCATAAGCGGTAGAGAGACAGGACTACTCCCATTTATAAAATTCACCTTAAAGATGGATTTTTGTCCAAATAACACGCCATAGGGTGGTGCATGCATCGGGTGGTGCACGGTAACAAGTTAACTCATGCATACACGGCTGATGCACGCTATGTACTCTTACACCATGACGGGTTGTGCATAGCGTGCTTTGCCGCCAATTCCATACTGCAATCAGTGAGAGACCAGGAATTAAGCTCGGCTTAAGCATGGCCATGGCGGCCACATGTGCGACTCCCACCTCTTCATATTCCCCGTTTGTCTCTCATCATCAACTCTTTCTCCTCCCCAGAAAAAGTTCAAATTTCATTACTTCTAAGAATTACCTTCCTCAATGGAAAACCAGTGTTAATTTCACCCATCTTGTTGGACTCTGCAACACCAGCAATGAGGAAGAGCTTCACCAAATCCACGCCCAAACCATCAAAGCTGGAGCCATTGGCCACCCCATCATTCTCAACAACCTCCTCCTCTCCTTCTGTTCCCTCTCCTCTTCACCCCACCTCGAATATGCTCGATCACTGGTTTTTCACAGTGCCTCAAATTCCAACACGTTCGCCTGGAACTCCCTCATCAGAGCCTACTCAAAGGGCGGTTTTCCAGACCATTCTTTCTCTCTCTTCTGTGAATGCCTGCAAAGATCGGTTTTGCCGGACCACTTCACGTTCCCCATTGTTGCAGGGGCCTGTGCAATGCTCTCCTCTTTCGAACAAGGCCGAGCTCTTCATGCCCAAGCGATCAAAATGGGATTTGATTCAGAAGATTATACAGTTAACAGCCTGGTTCATATGTATGCCAAGTGTGGATCTTTGGAATCTGCTCGCCTGTTGTTTGACAGAAGTTGTTGTAGGGATGTGGTTTCCTGGACTGCCATGGTTTCTGGGTATGCTAAATCTGGAGAATTAGGTCAAGCTAGAAAGCTATTTGATGAAATGCCAGAGAGCAACACTGTTTCTTGGACTGCCATGATTGATGGGTATGCAAAAGCAGGGGACATGAACTCTGCTCGTGTATTGTTTGATCGAATGCCTAAGAGAGATATAGTCTCCTGGGGTGCGATGATTTCCGGTTATTTGCAAGTCAATCGACCCATAGAGGTTCTCGCTCTATTTAGAGATCTGCAGCGGATCAGCTTAAAGCTAGACGGTGTTATAGTGATTGGAGTCCTCTCCGCTTGTGCTAGCTTGGGTGCACTAGATCAAGGAGAATGGATCCATAATTTCATATTCGAAAACGGAATCCAACTGGACCCCAAGTTGATCACTAGCTTGATTGATATGTATGCAAAATGTGGAAGCATTGATAGAGCATTCAAGGTCTTTAGTGACTGGTCAGGAAGGGCTTTGGGCCCATGGAATGCCATGATTGCTGGCTTTGCAATGCATGGGCGAGCCCAAAATGCAATAAACCTCTTTCTTGAATTGAAGAAGGTGGGTTTGAGGCCTGATGATATAACATTTATCGGCTTGCTCAATGCTTGTGCTCATGCTGGTTTGGTGGAGGAGGGTAGAGAGTATTTCTCTCTCATCAAGGGAGAGTATGAGTTGGAGCCAAAGATTGAGCATTATGGATGCATGGTGGATCTTTTGAGCCGCATGGGTCTTTTGGATGAGGCAGAGGAACTTGTAGAGAGCATGCCGATGGAGCCGGATGCCATTATATGGGGCACATTAGTGAGTGCATGTAGGATCCATGGCAATGTGGAAGTGGGGGAACGTGGGGCTAAGCGTTTAATAGAGTTAGAACCTGAAAATGGAGGAAGATATGTTCTTTTATCGAATACGTATGCGATGGCAGGGAGATGGGAGAGAGTTGGTGGGATTCGAAAGGTGATGAAAGAGAGAAGTTTGGTTAAGACCCCTGGTTGTACTTCTATTGTCATTGATGGGGTTGTGCATGAGTTTGTTGCAGGAGATACAAGGCATCCTCAAACAAAGGATATATATTGTCACCTCGGTAACATTTTTGAGGAATTGAGAGCACTGGGCTATGCACCTAGTACATCAAATGTTTTGTTGGACATTGAGGATGGGGCAAAGAAGCTTTCTGTAGCTTACCACAGCGAGAAATTGGCCATAGCTTTTGGGTTGATAAATATGGGGGCTGGCACAACATTTCATATCTTTAAGAACCTTAGGTTTTGTGAGGATTGTCACAGGTTTATGAAGCTCGTTTCCAATTTTTTTCAGAAAGAGATAATTGCCCGGGATCGGATCCGTTTCCACCATTTCAAGGAAGGTGTGTGCTCTTGTATGGATTTTTGGTGAATTTCATGTTCATTTAGATGTATAGGAATAAGAGAAAAACAGACACACTTGCAGGGGGGAGAGAGAGAGAGAGTGAGAGAGAGAGAGAGAGAGAGAGTATTTTGCTAAAAGGCCGGGGAGAGCGGTTAAGTAGTTTCTGGCTAAGGGACTTCAGGTATATAGAAGGGAAGTATAACTTTCCTGCCAATGACCCAGCCATGGCAATTTTTTTTCTGTAAGATATATGCCAAAAACAAACAGAGAGAATGGTTGTTTGTTATTAGTTGTTACCTCTGGAACTATGAATTTCCCCGTGAGAAGGCACACCGCAGGCAGCACACAGTAAGCAATCAATGGCAGCGAAGTCAATGGATAAAGTGCCGTGTTAATATATGCCACCCTTTGCAATAACCTCAGCCTTCCTCCATAGCCATACCATATTGGGCAATGCCTGCTCAATAAAATCTCTACTGACCCCAACGCCCATCTCAAAACTTGGTTCAAGCGATCAGATAGATTGATCGGAGCAGAGCCTTTAAATGCAGGCCTTGATGGCATGCAATAGACAGAGATCCAACCTCGAGCATGCATTTTGAAGCCGGTTAGAATGTCTTCAGTTACAGAGCCATATATCCAACCAATCTGAATCACAAAGCAGATGAAAGTTTGGGTTAATAGAGAAAGATGGAGAGAAACTCCTAAAATTTAGAGATTTCTAATTCCATTTTTGATCCAGAGCAAACTAGTCTAAATTGAACCAGAGAAGCCTAAAATCGTGAGAATTCACCACTCTGACATGATTCTCAAGCGGCGTTGATTTGATCTGAATTGAACCAAATGACGAAAAGCTGTGAATTGTTATTAGAGTACAGTACAGTTCTCAAGCTATAAGCTTGATTTGAATAAAAAGAGAGGAGCCCTTGGAGTACTTCAGCGGCATGTTCAAATTTTATCCATTCAATTTGAATTAGACCAGTGATAACTCTAAACATTACGTTAACAAGCTCAAGCACCATTCTTGGGCCATATCTGACTCAAACCGTAAATTGACAGATTCTAGCACCATTTTCATGTCATATCCTCTCAATCCAAACCAAGATATTTAAAATAGAGGAGAAGCCTAAATTAAACACAGCCCAAAATCATTTTCAAGCTATATCTGCCATATCCACACCAGAACAGAGAAACACCCAAAGAGTTCACTGTTCTCATTCCACATCCACTCAATTTAGTTAGGGCCAGTATACAGAAAATTGACTCGGCCAAGGTACTTGGCTTGGCCAGGTGAGTCCTCAAGACTCAATTCATGCACAGGGCTGAAAAGGCCTCAATAATTTGAAAAAAAAATACCAAACAGGGAAATGGGCGAGGCCGAGTTCCAGGACTCTTGTTGAGGCCAATGAAAAAAACCTAAGAGTGAATTGACTCTAATGATGGGCGAGGCCAAGTCCCAGCCAATGGAAAAACCTAAGAATGAATAAAATTCAACACCATTATCAAGCCAAAATCTATATATAACATCTTCTGCAATGTAATATAATGTATCTACCTCTTTCCCCCATTCTGTTTTGGCCTCGTAGCCACAGCTTATGACATGGACAGCTTCTTTCAACAAAGAAGCAGGATCAGAGGAGTCAGGAATGCCTCCCTCTTTCCTGGATGTTGTTTCAATGAAAGCAGGCGACAGGCCAAATTTTTCCCCTAAGCCTCCTTGTAACACAAGCAAAGGCTCGTCTTCTTCGAACCCTGTCAATATAGTTTGATTGGGTTTATATCAAACCTTAATCATATATTTGCCTAGACTTCTAATTTGATTCATCAAAGGCTTCGCTTTTTTTTTTTTTCTCACATATCATTCATGGATATTCCTGAGAATTGAAATGAGTGAGCCATGGAACTACCGGTGTTAAATTTCTACCTTGGAGCTCTTCTGCTGCATCTTCTTTGTGGAAAAGTGGCAGTTCGGTGTCGGCCCCTGCTCCATGGGCTCTCTTCTCATCCAAATATTTATCCTTTACAGTCTCTCTCTTGTTTGTTGGAAATAGGCCCCTGCACCATTTGAGAATGGAATCTGTTTTCCTTTCTTCTTCTTTCAAAACAGGGTGGTAACCATAGAGTGCTTGCCTATTGAAACAACACCCAGTACCAACGTACACCGGGCCTTGCAGTCCATCTTGCCCTTTTAAGTTAATCTGGAAAGAGAAGAAGAAACACCTCCAATTCAGTCGAGTGAACTCTTAAATTATGGATTGTCTAGCCCCATTTTCCTCTAAAGAAATAGGGTCCTTTGTGTGCAATTAAAATATTCCATATCATTCATACAAATCGGTAATACATGCACGCATGAATGGATTCATGCAGAAATAGAAATGCATAATTACGTACATCAAAGAAAACTGTATTTCTATTGGCATATCTATCATGCAAATCAATGCCATCAAATCTTTGTGGGAACTGAACGTAGCACGTTCTGTTTCTAAAATTGGGATCCATGAGGAAACACATGGCTTCTCTTAGGGCCTTGCTGTTGTTGAAGTAATGGTCACAGTCCACATTTAGAAGGAATGCACCATTTGAAAGGACAGCAGAAACTCGAACCTGAATCAAAGATACCATGTATTTGTTAGCCCTCGCAGAAAATGAAAAATAACTATTTGACATACTAGCCTATTCACATTGGGAGGTGACAACGAATCACATGCAGCAGACATCGTTTGTGATAGGGCCTACGTACACCTCCGTGTTTTTTTCTTTTGTTAATTTTGTCATTTGTCTCCATATTTGTAAGTGCTTAAGATGTCATTTGTACTGTTCAAATTGGATGATGGTTGTGTGCACAAGTCATACAGGTGAACATTATTTGTTGACATATAATTAGTTTTGCATATTTATTTCTAATGATGTAGTATTAGTCTTTTACAGTTTACTTGGTATACCAGAGCATTCATGGCACCAGCTTTCTTGTGATGTTGAAAACCCGGCCTTTTCTCTCGTGAGATGTAGAAGAGCCGTGGCAGTTCATTTCCATTGATATCAGGTCCTCCATTCTTGCCTAAGAACATCTGAAAGCATTTTTTAACATGCACAAGTTAATTTGAATGATGCAATTTAATAAATCATAATTCAGAGCACTATCTGAAACCATTATTTGACACCTGAACTTGATTGAAAAATATTTGTGTGCATGACTTCTTAGAAAGAAAAGGATATTGACATAAAACCAATAGATGTGTAGTTGAAATCATGCTAAGTGGCTCTTCTTCCTTTATGTGCTCAATAGTGTGTGGAGTCAAGGTTGAAAAGGAGTGATTCATGAATCATTAAAATATAAGTGTACAATGAGACTGTCAGCTTTTGTACAAAAATTTCACGAACACAGAGATTTTCAGTGGTAGGTTTTCTCGTACTTTTTGCCTGGTTAATGGTCTCATTGTATACTTTCCCATACATATATATTAATTTATTTTTGGACTGAACACATAGATTATAGACGGGTAGACTTTCTTTTTTGTTTCTCTTATTGTAATGATGCAATGATCAACTTGATTTCTCAGGAACATTCTTCTTTTTCTTGGGAGTGCAGATTGAAGGTTTTCCAGGACTAATAGTCATTTTTTCTTGCAAGGAAGCACATAACAAATTCCTCAGCAACTTCAAACAAATCTTTTATTCATTCTATTTTCGTACTTTGTATTTGTTTGAGTACTCTCCACTTCGAGTATCACTTTTTGGACTGCCGCCCTACAACTTTGAATACTTTTCCAGTGTTTTTTGTTTCTTTGGTCCATCTTGAGTCTTGTTGAAGTTGCCATGCACGCTTTTCTTCTAAAAAATTCATAATTTCTATATCAACATTCTTTTTTCATTTCGTTTTACACGTGTCAGTTCTCAACTCTTTTTTGTTTTTCATTGGTTGTTGAGGCATGAAACCTTGAACTTGTTGAAGTTAATAGGAATACTTTTCTTCTACAAAATTTATGAAACTTCATATCAATTCTGTTCTTTTAAAATTGGTTTAACACACTATTTGTGCTGTGTAGCTTTTAGTGGCAAAATTAGTTTTGATTCTCATAGTCCCTTCATATGTCAGCCAATAAGAAAGAAGAATCTGACCTGTATCATTCCGGGGTGATCTCTCGGGTTGTTTCCAGGCCAGGGAGTGCCATCTTGCATAACCCACCCTTCATCTGGGATCTTTTGTGCCTTTGCCACAAGAGCATTGATACTCACTTTGAAATCATCATATGCTCGCTGTAACAATGGTAGCAATGCATCATATTTATGTGTAATAATAGCTTGAAATGGCTTTGCCAACAGTTCATATATCTTTAATGATCATTATAACAACATAATTTTTCTCTAGAAAACTCACCTTCATGATTCTACGTTGTTTGACAAAGGAAGGTTGCAGTTTATCCTTTAAGTAATCTATCTTTTTGGAAAAATAATGCTCTGGAGCCCTAGGTTCTATGTCATATTTCTTGCAAAAGGGAACCCATTTCCTTGCAAACTCAGCTGTTTGCATCAGTGTTTCAAATGTTAGCATTGCTGATCCATCATCAGAAACATAGCATGAAACTTTGTCAACTGGGTAATCAACAGCTAGGATTGATAGTACGGTGTTCGCCGTAGCAAGAGGTGGTTCTTTGAGGGGATCCACTGTGCTCACGAAAACATCAATTGGGGCTAGCTGTGAAGACTCCCCTTCTCTATCATACCTATAAATTCAGTACAAATTATTGACATTCGGTTAGCCTCAAGCATTTTGTGAAATATGTTTATGTTAATTTGAGGCTCTCCTCTATAATGTACCTGCAAAATGAAAATAAATATTTTTGCGAAAAATATCCATTTTAATTGAAGCTTCCCCTTTACATCATGCCTAAATAATGAGACTAAATATTTATGATTTCAAAATTTTGGTGAAAGGTATATTTCATTCGAGCCTGCTGCCTCTATATCATGCCTAAGAACTAAATGACTTTTATTTATGAAAATAAGCAATCTGACCTCATGGCAAGGGCGTCGAGGTATGTTTCACGTGTGATCGGAAACCATTTAGGGAATTGGTCGAGAATCCACGACAAGGCAAACCAGATCTCGCATATGATGGATATGAGCCAGAGGGGATATGCACGATCCACAGGATGTGTAATTCTGTATTGGAAGAAGAAAACCAGTACGATTAACCGAATTATAATCACTACCCTATATGGTGTCAGATGAGTGGAAGGAATTGATATCGTTCTGTTTAGAGGTCGGTCCAGAGGATTATCCCTGCCACTGAAGAAATGGTCATAGATCAAAAAACCAGTTTCCTGAAAACCAAATAATATAGTGTTGAAATAAAATCTCAGTGCCTGCAATATGCGAACTTCGCATCTTCTCTTACTTGCCACTGAGTGAAATTTCTTCCATGTCAAGAGCATATTGAGTAACCATCTGATTCATTCCTGAATTTGAATCCTTCGGAGAAAACCCATTTGGCGCTTCATCTGTTGCCATGTCCACAGCAGAATGAATGTGTCAGTGCATTCCTCATGAAGGTTACTCTACGTAACTTGGGGCAAGAAACTGAAGTTGAGATGTTCCAAGTATTTATTTTCTTATTGCAAATGCATAAGAGAAAACAACTGTGCCAAAATGAAAAGAGTTGAGTAACTTCAGAGGCTACTCATGGTTACCAAGTGACTGTGTTTCAACTGATATTTGAGTCGTCGGTGATTCGTGAATAAGCATCTTGGTTCTCATGTATACCTGAAAAAATAGTTGGGCAAGGAACTTGTATTCGCAAACCGGAAGTTAACTTCCATGGCCATATTGAAAGTGTCGATCTTTCTCAATCACTATGCAATTCATATCAGTTGATTATCGTGTTAAATGCATATATGCGATTGGATGTGACCATTTATGGTGATTATAAGCATGTATACTTGAATACAGTTTCAGGTGTAATATGGGGATACAGAGAAAGAGAGGGAGAGAGAGAGAGGCAGGCTTACATCACTTTCTTTACTGAACTCAACACTAAAATTTTCATTTCTTTTGTGAGGAGAACTTGCAAGGGCTTCAGAACCTCTCTCGGTCGCCATAATTGGTGAGTACCCAATTCACAGTTGTGCAAACTGCTTGCAGAGTTCACAGGCGGATTCTGAAATTCATGGCTTTCTCCTTGATGTCATTGTACACAGATTAATGTCGGCATAGTTTTTTTGATGTCTTTTTAAAAGATGATTATGTTCAATTCTTGAAGCATTAATTCTAAGTTGATTGAGAATGCTAAGTTTGAAGGGGATTAGCTTGGGTTGCAGTAAGTTTAGCACTAGGTTGATGTGTTTCGAATTAGAGAGAACGAGAGAGATTGTTTTTGTCGTGGTGCTAGCCGGAGTTGTTTATGCGTGAATTGGGTTATGTTGTTGTCTCCGTAGAGATTTTGTCCACCAACCTTGTGTCTATCAAACGAGTCCCATGCGTTTTGGATCCATTTGGAGCCAAACACCCACACCGCCCTTCCAATATTTTAGTTTACTATATTATATACATGTGCATTTACATATTGAACAATTCATATGTTATAACCATAGCAAAACATCGCTCACAAAGATTAAAGTAAACGAATCGTAAAAAAATATTACTTTATGAATCAGAATTTTATTCATCAAAAATTTCAATGCAAGGATGTGCCATAACAGCATGGAGAAAAGCTCAAAAACTAGTATGCTATTGAATAGGGTCCTATGTATTTATCCAAAATCATATGATCACACCCTTAGTAGAAAATAAAAATAATTTTTGTTTTTATTCTAAACTACTTTTATTATTCTAAATTATTTTTTAATAAAATAAGATTTGTTGAAGAATGGCATTTTTAACAAAGAAATGCTAAATTCCAAAAATAAAATGTGTCCATAAAAGGGGACACACCATTATGTACTCCATAGAAGGATTGTATGCGTTTCTATAAGCATTGATCACGTTTCCGTGTCCACCAAGTGTCGAATGTGGTCAGACACTCAGACAATGTGTCCACGTTGATAGTCTAGGTGTATATTTAGGACCCAAAGTTTTGATAGTTAATCTCTTTAACCTAACGACTAACCTCAGGAAAGAAAAAATTCAATACATAAAAAAAAAAAACAATATCCTAATACTGGACACACCGTTCAATTTTCGGAGGGTGAATTCTAAATATTGAAGAACTCAAAATCCGAGCTTCATTTTCTCAAAATAATCATTTGGTGATTGATCCCTAAAATTAAGATTGGAAAAATTGCCGAAGTAGATTTTTCACACCCAAGAAGTATACAATTTGCAATATGCTGACAACATAGTATAACAATTTTAAGAACGTTTTTTACTTTTAAAATGACCGGGTTTCATCCACATGAGATTCAGTCACTGGGCCTGGCTGGAACAGGCAGCCAAATAGAGGCCCGACCCCGTCGAAGTACTTGATGTTAAACCTTTTGTTATCATTATATGCTCGCGCAGGAGCATATCCTCCACTTGCTCCCTCAAGTGAAACCTTACGTAAGAGTCCAAGATTTTGTTATGTAACCTCCTTAATGTAGACCAACATCTAAAAAGAAATAGAGAAAAACTTTTCGAACACAAAAAAATAATATCCTAAGATTGAACACGGGCTCTTAATTTTTGACAATTAAATAGAAACGTTTAGAAACTCAAATTTTATTTTTCTTATAAAGTAAAACCCAAAAAGTAAAATCAAGAAAAATCCTCTTTTAATGCTAGAGTAGCGCACACTCAAATTTTAATTAACGTAAAGGAAAGTTCATATTATCTACTGAAATTTATCGCCTTTTTATATAAATATTACGTGGGATTGTATACAATAAATCCATTTACTCTTGCTATAAAGAGTTCATAATTACTTATAACCATACGATGTGTCACAAAATTCGAGAAAATTTCTTTTAAACTTTGAATTTTATTAATGAAATAAATACATCCACCCAATTTTACATCTAATGGTCAAGATTAATTGTGACCATCTTGTACCGAAAATAAATCGTCTCACGATAAACTTTCCCATATTACATTCCATTTGAATACTTTTAAAACATTATCACGTAACAATTTAGGGACATTGGGAAAAACCAAACCTTGATTATTTTTTTTTCAATTTTTTGGATGCTGATTTAGACGTCAATAGAATAAAAAAAAAATCTAGACATCATGTTGCGACACTCTGCCACCCAACCAACTCCCAACCAACCAAGAACTTGTAGAAGCTATTCATGAAATCATGATGATTATGGCGCCCACCTTAAGTAGGGTAAATTCATTTCCTGATTATCTTCTATACCCTAAGTGCTTTGGAATCTCGAAGGCTATTATAAGCGTACAAGATCCCTTAAAGTGCTACTTCCCATGCAACGTCAAATTTTGACATACACCGCCGTCATGACTATGGAGTATCCTTGCTCAAGAGGATTATCATCATCGTACAATCAATAAATTAACCATGGATTGTGCGGGAACACCAACACAAGTCATGAACGAATGTTGGGCGTCACTCTGCCATTATCCAACGTAAAATCTCATGTGGAACGTTTTTTAGTTGTAATAATTAAACATATATCTTTAGTTCTGTACAGGTGCCCTCTGCATTGAAAAGCACCACCCCTAAGTCAACACTCGCAAAATATATTGGACGTGGATGATTGGATCCAAAATTTTGCACGCCAATAATCTCGATCACTAGTCATGAATTCCTTGAACATCTTATACTTTATTCTAGATTGCATATTTCAATTCTTCAAATATCTCCAATTTTCGAGCTCCAAATTCACATATGGGGCAGAAACATATATACTACGATCTGTCAAAGTATTTCAAGTCCTAAATCCCTCAGACTCGAGGCAAACGAGTACGACCACTCACCAAACGCTTTTCCTTGTAATAAAATGAAGTTTTTTATAACCACAATTTTGGTCATCCAGCTAGCTATTACTTCCTTAACCACTTCAAATGGGTATTCACTCTGAATATTCAATCTCTGTCTAAAACAGTTTTCTTAAACTAAAATCATTTTAAATCTTCGGGTTCAAGCCCAAGCCTGTATGCTGTGTAGCACAATGGGTAGGGACTCTCACAACTTGCCAACCAAAAAATAACTACTTTTTAGAGAGGTGAATCTTGGTGCTCTCATGCCCATTGCCAACCAAAAGGGACAAGGGACTTTCAACTCTTGGTGAATCTTTTTAAAAAGAAAGACTTCTATATTGACAGGTTTTTTAGTAGAGAGAGAGAGACAGTTTATAGCTTGAAACCCGGCATGACGCCCTTAAAAATGTCCATATTCCAACAGTGTGTCAATAAAAACATTGAATAATTACCTGAAACTAATTAATGGAGTGAGGAAGGGCCCTGAACATTGAACCCCTTCTAAAATCTCCAAACTACCTACCTCATCAAGAGTTTACTGCCAGAACTTGGCTCTGTTGAATGAACTATAGACTTTGGATGAGATTCTACTGCTTTCAAGTCCCCGGTGATCCTGCACACTCCGATAAAAAACTAAGAATCCTTCTTTCTCATGCCCCTTGCGAGAGTAGATTCAAATCTGTGAGGATAGCTGAAAAAGAAACAAAAAGAGCCATCCAGATTTTCCAATAATTTCTTAATGCATTTCATAATTATTATTATCATCAAAAGGGACTACAACTGACTGTGGAAATGCATTAAATACAGGTAACGAAGATCTCTCTCTCTCTCTTCACACCTAACACTGGAGGAGAGAAAAATCAGAGCTCATGGCCACTACCTTCCGCTACATCAAAAGCCAATCTCTTCCTTTCCCATCGTAAATCTCCAATCCTACAATAAAAACCCTAATAGGTAGGGAAATCACAAAAATATAGCCACAAATACTAACATCTTCAATAAAAATTTACTGAGGAAAAAAAAGAAAGTAAAAAAAAGACCACTGATAAAAACTGAGGAAAAATGCTTACATTGCTAAAAGCTAACGACGTGACCGTGGGTTGCAGCGAAACTCTGCTAAAAGTGCGATATGATCAGAAGACCATTCAGGAGAAGGAAGCGCCGTGTCTTTGCGTAAACTATCCTCATCCAAGAGCTCAAGCAACGATTCCACGGTCAGTGAATCCGCTGGATCATAAAAGAGAGCCAGATATATAAATAATAACATAGAAACTTCTCAACTTGTGAGAGTAGATACAAACAATTTCATGCTGTCCATGCAAGCGCTACATGTGTGTGAGAGAGATGACTGCTGAATGTTAATGAGTTGAGATCAGTATCATGCTATCCATGCAAGCAGTATGTACACAACAATCTCCGCATGTACACACACACACACAAAAAGGGAGAGAGAGAGATTTACCAGTGTAGAATATGTAATCAAGGGTGCCCAGGAAATCTCGGGTGCAGTTTGTGAACAAGGGCTCATTTGTCATAGGGTCAATTCGCCTGCGTTGTTGCTCTAAGCCCATACCAACACCCACCATTCTAGCAAAGGAAGAGTAAGCACTGACCTGTTCGAAGCAATAACCACAAACAATGGTTGGTTGGGAGAGGAGCACTAGAAGAACTGAATTCCACCAAGGAACTAAGCTTTCCAAGAATAGAGGATCTTTTCTTTTTCTTCTTTCTTAGTTGAGATGGGTAGAAAATGGAGTTCTCTTTAGGAAGGGTAAGAATAAATGGATTACCAAAGGAAGGCGATGATTTAGCTTTGAAGGGGGCCGCAGAATTCCTAGAGGGTCTATTGTTAAGTCCGGATGTGTTGACTCCACCTTCCCAGTCGCCAAGAGGGCATGAGGAGCACTGCAATCAAATCCCATATTCAAAATTGATTCCCTCACATCATAATTAAAGTTGAAAAATATATTTTCATGCTCTGCAGTTACACAGTAACTGTACATCACATCGACCATTATCAACAATGCACAACTGATGTCACCCATTCCTCCACTTGATTCCTCTTCGGTGGAGACACATTAATCTAAACCATCTCTAAATGACGACAGTTTTAGAGATGTGCAGTCTCGTGCTTGAAAACTGTGTGCATGCCATATTCAAACCCTAAAGAGAACTTTGATTCAATAATGTCCAAAAAAATCATTTCTCGCATCATCAAGGTGTGCCTCCTTGATGTACTAATGTAAATATCTAGAACACAAACAATGTGTGTGTTTGTAAGTACATAAGTGTGTGCAAGTGTGTTTGTGCATGTGTAAAATAAATTATAGAATTTAATAAATTACCATACCTCCCAGGCATTGAATTGAAATCACCACAGACCAACATCGGAATGTCTGCACTGACAGCAATTTTCTCCAGCCCTTTAAGCAGAGTATGAACCTAAATTATATCAGAAGCAGTCAGACCAACACTCCTAAAGAGCCCCCTCGTGCACGCGCACGCACACACAGACGCACGGATGCAAGCATGCAGCACAACACAACACACACACACACACACATCAAGAGAGAGAGAGAGAGAGAGAGAGAGAGAGAGACAACCTGCCACAGCTTGACATCCTTAAGATCTTGATGGACATTTACATGAGTATTTGCCTGTCCACCAATATATCAGAAAATACATGGTTAGCATGACACCATCCATCCCAGAGGAAGAAAAACAGTCAAGCTCTAAATATTTTCATGGTGGAGGGGGGGGGGGGAGCTATCGAGAAGCAAACCATTCAACAAATAGAAAGGAAAAAAAATAGAGAAAGAGTCTTCTAAATAAGGCAAATATGGCAGTGAGCAGCTCCTATTATATTTCTCATATTCCAAAAAAGAATCCCTAAGCATTCAGTATAGTGGTCGGCAGATCTATCAGTATGGAAGAGGGAGGTCAAGGGTTTGAATCCTTGAAGTTTGTCCCGAAAAGCCTAAACCAGCACGCCTAGCCTTTTATGTAAAGAAAAGGCCCATCAATAATAAATTCATTTTTTTTGTTTTTGATGAACTATAAATTCAATTCAATTTTTGTTTGAGAAAGAAACGACAAAACAAGGCCAAATTGTCAAAATCAAAGGTGAGAAAAACAGACTACAAAGCAATGGTAAAAACAAAAGACCGATAAGACAAAAGAAATATGAAAAGGAAAGTGATCTAATAAAATCTTCCCTACTTCCAATCTTTCATTTTAAGCAGCCCCATTACTCTAAAACTTAAACCAACCCCTCCCCCCACCTATTTATTATTTTTTTTCTAGGTGAAGACAATGATTTGCATTACTTTATGTAAAAGTTACAAAAGATGTAAATGTTAACATCATCAAAAAAAAAAAAGTTACAAAAGATTTATAGGCATGTTATCAGGCCATATTTTGGCAACCAGAAACAAAAAATTGGCGAGGATAGAATTTGGAATGAATATCTTCAAGGGAACTTTGGGGTGGCTCCAATAGGTGACAAGATGACAGAAAGTAGACTTAGATCGACTGACCATGTGCAACACAGACCCAATACAACATTTGTTAGGATGAGCGATTCGGTTCAAGTGTAAGGCTCTAAAAGGGAAGGGGGAAGGACATGGATGGATGTAGTGAGAAAAAATATGGGAACTTATGGTCTTACTAAGGGTATGACCCTTGATAGAGCAGAATTGCATAACAGGATTTGTGTAGCCAACCCAAATAGTTGGGATAAAGCTCTAATGATGATGATGATGAAACAAAAAAATTGGTGCTTGAGAAGCACCTGATGTACAAAAAGTGGTGTTAGAGGCAGCAGACTGTACACAAGAGGAGGAAAAGCAAACAAAAAAACAAACCAAACAAACAAAAATGTCAAACTGATGGCAGAAAACTAATTAGGTTCGACTAGTGTCCCTAGCAGCCACTCCCTCCTTGGCCAATGTTCCAATTTTTATTTTTTTTCTCTCGAATTTGTCATTTTAAGTACATTTATTCCCCCCAAGCCCCAAGCCCCTTCTTCCTCTCACTACCCCATCCCATGTTTTGCACAAACCTCCATCTTATGTCTTTCTCTCTCCTCTCTCATTTTTCTATTTCCTCCTGTTCACTCTTACCCCTTCATTTCACCTTCAAATTGCTGAATAGAGCCTTCTGATCAAATTCTACAAATCCCAATTCTTATATTTCAATTTAATCCCCATTTCAACCCTCAAATCCCAACTCCAAAACCCTATGTTTCAGGCATAGTTGTTGGAAATGCCTAGGAGCCCGAATCGTTTTAGGAACCGGATCGCCGAATCACGGTTGGCTAAAAGATTCCTGTCTTAAGAATCGTTGTCCGTACAATAGGAATTGCTAGAAACGAGATTTCTAATTTTTGAGAATCGTATTTCGACCGAAATAGATCCAAGTTTCATCTACATATGGAATCAAGATTCCGTTCTCCTTGGAATCGAGATTCGCATCCCCCTGGAATCGACACTCCAAGAGTCAAGATTCATTAATATGTGGAATCGAGTTTCTGACATCTATGGAATCGAGTTTCTGACATATGTGGAACAGAGATATGTCGTTTCGAATCATGATTCTGACATATTTGAAATAAAGTTTCTGAAGTATATGGATCAGAGATCCATGCCAGTTTGAGATCAAGATTTACAATAATATGAACTATGGAACGCGTTTGACGACCCCTACTAGGAATCGAGATTTCATTTATACGGAGAAAGAAAACACAAGCACATCTTGAGCCGCATCAACTTTAGAACCTACATTGGATGTCTCTTATTAGAAAGTTTCCCAACTTTTAAAGTGATTGTGTTGACAATTGAACTTACAGCCATTATATACAAAGACAAGTATTTCTAAATTGTTATTTTGACTTCATTATTATAAAGACAAAATAGGATTATGTCTACACCATGGTTTTACTTTTAATTGTATGTGTTGTATTTACCAGTTATATTTTAAATTTAAAGTGAAGGCCATCCAGGGTGGCACAAGTAAAATAATGAAACCCTGCAACCACAAGAAGCATTCGAAGGAAAATTTCTACTACAATTGACGTGAAATCAAGATTTAATCCTTGCTAGAATCCAGATTCAATATATTTGGGAACGTCTACCCACAATTAATGGGTTCAAGTTTCTAAAGATGTGTTGGATCGAGATTTCAAAATTAAAGAATCGAGTTTCCTTGGTTCCAATAAATGGTTTCTAGAGAGATTTTGAATCGCGATTCCGACATTAAGGAATCTAGTTTCTTTGATTCCGAAAAATGGTTTCTAAAGATGTGTCGAATTGAGATTCCGAAATTAAGGAATCGAGTTTCTTTGGTTCCAAAATAGGGTTTCCGTGGAGATTCCTTAACGGAAACGCAGAATCGGGTTTCAGAACCGGAAACGCGAGGTCAGTGGAGAGATTCCGGTAAGTATGGTTTCAGGCTTCTAGCCATTAAGAAAAGCATTTTTGATGGCTGGAAAGCCATCTTTTCACAAGTAAAAGTAAAAACTCAGATTGTTAGTGGTTGGTTTTAGTTTGAGAATTCCTAGCTTTGCAAAGAAAACTGCTTTCGTCCATGGATGAAAAGAAAACCAATTCAGAACACTCTAAAATGTGGTTTTATGGACACCATAGATGAGAAGAAACCAAGTTCAAAACCACTTTTCGAATGATTTTTCATGCACCGAAACCATTATAATGTTAATTGATCGTCAAAGCAACTAATTCTTGAGTAGTTTAGGGTGGGGTGGGGTGGGGAGGGGTGGGGCTGGCAGTTATCAGGCGTTATTGGAGGAGTAAATGGGTGATTTTAGTTTGAAATTCTTGGTTTTCAAAGTAGCCGATCCCCTGGTTTTTTGCAAAGAAAATTGCTTCTCCATTGAGAAGAAGAAACTCAATTCAAAAGCCATTTTTTCAAGTAGTGTGCCTTTGTTTTTGCTGTTTTAGATCTTTGCAGTTTTAGTTTTTTTGCTGGTTTCTCTTTCTTGTTTTTAGAGTGTCACATTGGTTGATGACTTTTATTTGTCCCCTCGGTTGCTTTGTACCTTTGTAATTCTTGTGTCCTTCAATACAATGTTAAGATCAATAAAAAAAGTAGTTCTCCGAGATCCGTAACCACCATTGATTCAATGACCTATTCTTCCTATCTAATTTGTGATCACAGCAATGAATTCTGGATTGGTTTTGGGGAGGGTGCGGCTGGTGGTTATCAAGCATTTTTAGAAGTGTTGTCATGCCAAAAAAAAAAAATCACCAGAAAACCATTTTCCACAATTCCTGGCAAAAGAAAAAATACGAGAGGACGAGAGGACTCTACTCCTAATATCGGTTTCTTCCTCTCTAGTGATAATCATTTTGACCACAAAACCTATTGACGAAACAAAACCAGATCACAAAAGGGAGGGAGGGATTCGGGAAAATGGCGGGTGGGGTAGAGTAAAAAGAGTAAAAGCAGGTTAGGACATGAGGTTAATAAATATGGGTCCTGAAAAGGGAATGAGAGTTGCGGAATAGGTTGGGTAAAGATTTAAAAACAAATTAACAGCGCCACTTGAAAGAAAATAAATGGGGAGGTTGTGTTTGGAAGATAACAATTTTCGGAATATTCAAAAAAATATAACAATTTTGGGAGGATTTTATTTCACAATACCCAAAAAAATATAAGAAGATGGTGCTCCTTTCATTGTTTTTCTAGATACTCCAGTACATGGTTTAACAAAACGGCTCGCCTAGCGCCTCGACGACTTGTTAAGTGCCAATGGTCCCTAGCCCGCCTCACCTAGCCCTGAGCAGGGGAGTTTTGACGCCAGTTCATTAGCAGCCCCCCCCCCCTCTCTCTGCAGGCTTTTTGGAAGATATAAATTTGCCCATGAGGGCATTTTGGGTCGTTTTGACCCATGAAAAAGGAAGAAAAGGGTATTTTGGGGATATTCTAAACCCTCTAAAGTGAAAAAACTCAATCCTCAACAAGGCCACTTGAAAGAAAAGAAACGGGGATGTTGTGTTTGAAAGATAGCAATTTTGGGAGGATTTTATTTCACAATAAAAAATGGTGCTCCTTTCATTGTTTTTCTAGTTACTCGAGTACATGGTTCAACAAAACGGCTCGCCTAGCACCTAGACGGGCGGCTAAATGCCAATGGTCCCTAGGCCGCCTCACCTAGCCCTGAGCAGCGGAATTTGTGCGCCAGTTCATGGGCGCCCCACAAGGCAGGCTAGTCGCGTGCCGTGAGGCTTTTTGTAAGAAATCAATTTGCCCATGAGGGCATTTTGGGTCGTTTTGACCCATGAAAAAGGAAGAAAATGGTATTTTGGGGGTATTCTAAACCCTTTAAAGTGAAAAAACTCAATCCTAAACCCTAAATATTGTATTACTAGTACTAGAGATCCGGGATGGAAATATTGATTTACACTATGGACTTATTTATGTTTTTTATTATTTCAGTTATTCAAAGTTTGGGACATGTTACCAATAT